TGGGGACAGTGCTGAAGCCACTTCCCTCCTGGGTGTCCCCAGCGCTCAGCTCCACAACAAACACCACGGACACGCAGACAGAGAAGCGGGTGGGTGGGTGGCAGGTGTGTCACCTGCTCCTCGGCACCGTCACCCTCTGCTGGGCTCAGCCACAGTCAACCTGAGCCGGGGCTGAGAAGAAATCCTCGGGCAGCTCTCCCAGGAGCCCGTCCAGGTCATCTGCACGGCACAGCAGGATGGGAGTTTGTGTGTGTGAGATCGTGGAATTGTTCAGGCTGGGAACCAGGCCCTGCTTTGCACAGGACACAGAGTTTTCCCTCCCCTCCCAGAGTGGGTCTGACTCACCCATGTCACATCCATCAGCTCCCACCGGCTCTTCCCAGCTGGGATCAGAGCTCGGTGGGCACAGGGAGAAGCCCCCAGGATGTTGCTCTGCACTGTGTCCACTCGTCCTCGACTGTCCCCAGTCCTCAGGAATGGGGACACCCCGGGTGGGCTGTGCAGGGGGGTCTGGGGCCAGCTCAGCCTGGGCAGGGACCTGCAAAACCCAGTGGGGATGAATTATTGGGGGGTTTATCCAGCCCTCCCCCTTCCTCTTGGGGGTCCCCATAACCCAGACCCCCTGGGGGTCACAGCAGCCCCCCAGGGCCACCAGCAGTGCCCCCCTCACCTGCCGGGGGGAGCAGCCCTCAGGCTCGGGTGGGAAGATCCGGAGGAGGTTGTTGGGGGTCACGTTGAGGTAGTGGTTGCGGTGGGAGGGGGAGAAGACCCCGACCTGCAGAGAGGGCAGAGCCAGCTCCTGGATAAACCCCCCAAGTTACAGTGCCCCGTTTATGGAAATCTTAGGATGAAGGGTGAAAGTTTAGGAAGAGTTGAGAAAAATCTGAGGTGCAAAACTGCGGGAGATCCTTTTCTTGTATTTGTATTTGCAGGTGCCGTGGAATGGGAACAGGGATGTACCACATGCACACACTGGCTCCTCTTATCCCTTATCCTACATCCACATTCCAGTTCCAGGGTGTACTGGGGCTGGGAACAGGACAGGTGATGTGCTGTATCAGCACCCCAATCCCCCACCCCGCATTCCCCCGGGGTCAGACCCCACTGGGGTGGGATAAGCAGCCCCCCAGTTCTCCTCACCTGCCTCAGGAGCAGCACGGAGCCGGCCCGGAGCTCGCTCTGCCTCTGCTCCAGCAGCAGCCGGTGCACGGTGCCCTGCATCTCCCCTGGCAGCGAGGACGGGATCCCTGAGCCCTGGGGGCGACGGGCCGGAGCCCCTCCGGGCACAGGATCCTCCGGGCACAGGTACCCCCAGGGCACAGGTACCCCAGGCACAGGTACCACTGGGCACAGGTACCGATACCACCGGAGCCCCACCGGGCACAGGTACCCCCAGGGCACAGGTACCCCAGGCACAGGTACCCCAGGCACAGGTACCGGTACCACCGGAGCCCCACCGGGCACAGGTATCCCCAGGGCACAGGTACCACCAGGCACAGGTACCCCCAGGGCACAGGTACCCCTGGGCACAGGTACCCCTGGGCACAGGTACCACCACGCACAGGTACCCCCGGGCACAGATACCCCTGGGCACAGGTACCACCAGAGCCCCACCAGACAGAGGTACCACCAGGCACAGGTACCCCCAGAGCAGAGGTACCCCCAGGGCACAGGTACCCCAGGCACAGGTACCACTGGGCACAGGTACCGGTACCACCGGAGCCCCACCGGGCACGGAACCTCAGGGCACAGGTACCCCAGGCACAGGTACCACCGGGCACAGGAACCCCAGGGCACAGGTACCCCTGGGCACAGGTACCACCAGAGCCCCACCAGAGCAGAGGTACCCCCAGGGCACAGGTACCCCAGGGTACAGGTACCCCAGGGCACAGGTACCCCCAGGGCACAGGTACCCCCGGGCACAGGTACCCCTGGGCACAGGCACTGCCCCACTCACCTGTGGGGTCCCGGAACACAGCACCAGCGCCGGCGCTGCTCCTGGTCAGGGTCTTGATCATCACTGCCATGCTGGGCACCTTGTTCTTCGGGAGCTGCTTCAGGGCTGCCTGCACAGCACAGCGGGGATTTTGGGATAACCTTGGGCAAGGCTGGGAGATGAACTCCCTGATCCTTGTGGGTCCCTTCCCGTGTGGGATATTCCAGGATTCTACAGCCCTCGTCACCCCGGGGATGTGGATGTCTGCGCTCAGCTCAGCTCAGCCCCCTCCCCAGAGATTCCCAGCCCTAAAAGCAGCTCCGAGGGGTGAGGGAAGAGCAGGAAGCTGAGCCCTGGGCCGCCCTCACCTTGCGGAGCACCATGACCACGCTGTAGGTGTGGAGGAAGCAGCTGGGGTCTCTCTCATCCAGCCCCAGCTCCGTCTTCATGGCCAGCCAGGGCCCCTTCCCAAAATCCTCCTCCGTGGGCAGCGGGGAGCTGGGCAGCGCCTGGGGTCAGGGATACCCATGGTCACAAAGCCCCAGGGGCTCCCTCCCCGCCCAGCACCCCACTGGGGGGGTCCCACCGGGATCTGCCCGAGCAGGGGTGGGAGGGGGGGGTTACCTGAGCCCGCGGCTTTGCCACGGCCCCGTGAGCTGGAGTCTGGGGAGCAGACACCAGGATCTCCTCCAGCAGCTTCCCAGAGTGCTTGTGGGACAGGGAGAGACGTCCAGGGATCTGCCTGGCTTCATCAGCTGCTCCCATCCTCATCCCCATCCCATCCCCATCCCCATCCCATCCCACCCTCATCCCCATCCCCATTCCCATCTCCATCCCCATCCCCACCCCACATCCCACTCCCATTCCCATCCTATCCCAACCCACTTGCATTCCTGACCCCATCCTCACCCCGTTCCCACGCTGTCCCCATCCCCAGCCACCCCCTGCCCACCTCCTCCCCACCCTGTGCCCACCTGCTGGGGCAGGATCCCGGCGGGCCCCGGGAAGCGCCGGCTCTCCCTGCGGGTGGGGGCTCGGGGGGCTGCCCCGGGGGCTTTGCTGGCCGCTGTCACCAGCTGCACCAGGTGGTTGGTGACCACGGGGGCGTTCGGGGGGCCAGGAGCGTTGGCAGCCACGGGGGGGTTCGGGAAGCTGGGGGGGCCCGAGGGGGGTCNGAGGGGGGTCTGGGGGGCAGCCGGGGCTGGGGGCAGCTCTGTGCTGGGGGGCTCCAGGGCACTGAGGAGCTGCTCCTTCCTAGGGGTGCTTGGACAGGCCTCAGGCACGGAGCCCCCGGAGCAGGGAGGGACCCTCGGGAGCTTCCCGGCTCTCCCGTGGAAAGGGGGGGTCTGGGGGCACAGACACCGGCCGTGCTGGGCCGCAGCATCATTTTGGCACTGGGGAGGGGGCCCTGCCTGTCCTGCAGCCCCCCAGAACCCGAGACCAGTTCCTCTCCCACCCTGAGCTTTTTGGGGGCCGCACATTCCTGAGCGTTCTCCTTCCCTGGGCATTTCCATGGGGGCTTCTCGCGGCGCCCGGGGGGCACCGGGGCAGTGCCAGCCCCCACGGGCACCTCGGGACCCTCCAGCTCCCTGCAGGCAGCCAGGAAAAGGGCATTGTCCCGCTCGTCCTGGGGGGCTGCCCCCCGCCATGGGGGTCCCTGGAATCCCACGGGATGCTCGCCCTGCCCGGCGAGGGGCCGGACTCATCCCCATCCACTGGGATGGGCTTTACTGGGATGGGCTTCACTGGGAGGAACCGGGACCACGCTGGGTGAGGAATGCCCGGGGGTCACAAACTGGTTCTCTGCATCTTCCACAGCGGAGAGGAAATCCTGTGGGAGATAAACACTGGGAATGGGAACGGCTCCGTGCGACCCCCGAACCCCGCCGGGGCCGAGCAGCTCGGCCGGCCCGGGCACCTCGCGGGGGTCTCGGCCATTGGGGGTCCCTCACCTCGTCCTCCAGCTCCCCGTCGGTCCCAAAAAGCTTCTGGAAGTGGCAGGACTGTGGGAAAATGGGGAAGGATGGGGCAGGGAGGGACACAGAGGGCCCGGGGTGCTCCCGCAGGTCTCGGCCGCTCGGCAGCCCCGGGAGGGCCTCACACGGCGCCGAGGGGACCCAGGATCGGCCTCCCTCTCACCGCACAGATCCCTTTGTGGGGACCCTCCGTGGAGACCCCAGATCGTCCCCAGGGGACCCCAAACCCCCCTCTGTCCCCCCGGCCCCGTTACCATGGCAGCGCCGCGACCCCGGCCCGGCCCCGGAGGCGGAAGCGGCGGGGCCCGGACTCGAACCCGCGGTCTCCGGGGAAGGGGCGGAACTTCCCCTGCGGCACCGCGCTCCCCCTGGCGGCGGGCAGGAAGCGCGGCCGCGCCCCTTAAAGGGCCACGCACCCCCTTTCCCCGCGCGTGTCACATGTGCACACGCGTGTGCCCCCGCGTCACCCGGCCGGGCCCCGCGGCGCCGCCGGTGACTCAGCGCGGCCCCGGTCCGGCGTGATTCATCCCCGCACGTCCCCGCGGCACGGGCTGAGTGACCCCCCCCCCAACCCGGGCCTGCTACACCCGCACGCGTGCGCGGGCAAGGGCACAGGCGTGTGTGCGTGCGTGTGTCCTGCACACGCGTGTCCCGTGAGTGTGGCAGCTGCACACAGAGCACGCGTGTGCCCTGCGGAGCGTTTCCCGCCTGGCCCGCGGCACACGCGTGTCCCCACGTGTGTGCTCACGCTCTTGTGCGCGGCAGCGGTCGCACACGCGTGTGTGCGGCAGCACAGCGGCCTGTGGCACCTGTCTGTGTGTGTGTGCGCCATGGCACGCCATGGCCTGTCACCTGTCACACACACGCGTGTGCCCCGGCACACTCACAGCCACTGACACCGTCTCACGCTCACTCTCTCCGCGGCCCCTTTAAGGCCCAATTAAGCCCCGCCCCTCATTAGGCGCCGCCCCTTTAAGGGGGGCGCCCCCCCGCGCGCGGGGCTATTTTTAGCGCCGGGCGCCGTCACGTGACCCGGAGTGACGTCACCGAATGTTGTTGTCGGGGCGGGCGGGGCCGCGCGGCGAAGATGGAGGAGGAGGCGGGGGGGCGGCGGGGCGCGCGCCGGGCGGCACCGGGGGGACCCCAGGTACGGGCGGCACCGGGG